ATGTCATGTGTCATGACTATGCCTCCATGACTATTTCTTTATGCTTGTGGGTACAACATTAGTTGAAGTATTTAGTCCAGCAAGTCATCCCAATTATCTTTTTAATAGATAAAACTATAGTCAAGAGTGAACATGAAGTCAGTTACCAAGTTTCAACTGAAAGGAAATAAAATAATCAGTTGCATTAACATAATTAGCAGAATTTGCTAAGAAGCATTGGATATTCTATAAATGCTTCATCTATCTCATTCCAAGGCAACTTGCACGAGATCATAATTGTGGGATAAATTCAGATGTCTTCTTCCATAAAGGAAATCCAGAACAACCCTCTTGTGCCTACTGGGTCAGACCCTTGTCCTGTGTTCAAACCTTTAAAAACAAAAAGGAAATGAGAGTGAGTCTATCCAGAAGAATAACTAACTTTCAAGGCCTCTGGCCTCCAGAAGGAATTTAGTTGTCTGAGGTCTACAGCACGAACACATGTTTGTTGTGTAAGTAGCATTCCAGACCTTTCAGCTACATGGTTTGGGCCTGTCCCAAAATATTCTGGAAAGAATTCCTTACTAAAATATAGTTCATTTTGAGTATTTCTCTTCCCTGAGAGGTACTCCTTTGGATAATGGGAGAATTATTATCAATTCTCTAATTCCCTGAATATTGTGGAAATGTGGTTTCAGGCAGCCTTCTAATGACTAAAAAAGAGAATAACTTTAAACTGGAAATAAACAATTACTTGAGGCTTTAATGGACTGGAAAGTAGGGCTTAGAGATTTAACGTTTTTCAAATAAATACATAGTATGTTAGAAAGCATGATTGTATTTACAAGCATTTGGGGAGCTTCCTTAAGCATATGGTTGAACACATAGGGATACATCTTATCCTCTCCATATGTACTTCTAAATCCCATTGATATTAATACAAGTAACACATGTGCATATAGACTAGACCATGTACTGTGTTTTCTTTCTCCTTATTTCCTTATTAGGAATAATAATAAAAACATAAATGCATTCCTTTTTGTTGTTTTATAAAACATTATGGGTCAACTCCTGATCTCAGGAAAGTCAATGACCAAACTTCCATGGACTTCATGGAGAGACCGCATCCTGTATGTATTGGAGTGAAGAATGTCTGGTGGTTGTAAAGCACAAGCACAAGTCAGGACTCTTGAGCTTTGATCATATGCATTCATCTGACTGCCACTGTGACTTTGGGACAATGCTTCTGTGTACAGCGAAGCGTGGAAGCACATGCCTGGACTGAAGCTTCTAGGTGCCCACCCAGGGGTGGGCTGCCAGTATGCTCAGTATTAGCTGTGGGTTGAGGTCAGCTTTAGTAGCAGATGATTTGGAAGTTTGATGTTTCAATGTAGGTTTGTACCAGGACTGAGCAGTTGGAATATGTGTTTGATCAGGTTTTTGAGAGGGGGCTTGAATGGCCACCTGCAGAAACTGAAAATCAGGTACAGCAACATTGGGCTGAGGCATAATAACCAGGATACCTAACTCACTATTAAGATAGGTTTCCACTCAGTGTTTGAAGAGGACAAAATAGAAATAAGTAGGCATTAATATTATTTTTTTTTGAGGATTGGGTTATTAGTTTTATCCTAAAATTATATTAACAACTCAACATTTTTGCAGAAATTGCTGCTTTCTCTTACTTCCTCTTTCCCCATTTTTACTCTACTGTAACCCAGCACAAGTCTCATGGGGTGGTATTTGAGATGACAATCAATGCCACTGAGTTGGAAGAGGAAAAGCAATATATCAGCACTCTTGATATATGAATCTTCTGTGTGCTATTTTGTTTTGTGAGGGTGACCTATACATCTGTTTGTTGCAGAAAGTGCTAGTAAACCATCTGCAAGGTATTTTCAAATATTAGTACATTAGCAAGCCTTTACAGTCTGACTCATTTCTATGCCATTTATAAAATACAAGACATCATACAAATTTTCTCAGACACTCACCCAAAAGTTTTATTTCAAATAAATATAGATTCTCAGAAAGATTTAACTTGGACCATTAAAAAAATGCCCATCAATCCATCAATAGTTGGTTGTTTTTTAAATTTCCTACATGCTAAATTGCATAAATGAAGTTGTGAATGTATACCTGCAACTGAAACCCTAAAGTGTTGTTCTTGGGGACCTAATATACACCATTTCGTGTAAAAATGTAAAGGGAAAAGCAACAAAGAGAAAACAGTCATGTTAAAAGGAAGGCTTCTTTACTACCCGCTAATCCTCAGGTTGCTTTTTGCAGTTGCACTGCCCACACCTCAGTGTTGTTCAGGGAGCAGAAATACTGCACTGATGAAAATTGTGGAAAAGCTTGTCTTACAAGCTTTTATATCTTACAAAAAACAAGTGAAAGGTAATGGTTCTAATAGTAATTAAGTATTTGTGGAGATCAGAAATATTTAAAACTTTTTGCCTTCAATAGAAATAGAGCAGTATTTCAAGCAATAATTACAGAGGACTCATAATTTTTTCATAATTGGCTTCAATTCAATTAACTACAGGCCTACTTAGATACTTAAAATTAAGCATGTGCTTAAACTCATGGTGAAATCAGGAACCTCTTGATATTCTAAATGTATGGCAGTCAGCTTCCATTAATTTATATTTAAATAATGTAAAAAACCCCAACCAACCAAGCAAAAAGTCAAAAAAAAGAACAATTTATAAATTAGTAATACAGTAAGTTATTGTAAAATCCAACCAAGCACATTAACACCCTTAAAGACAAAATTTCTGTCTTTTCTTTTTTAATTGGCACTGGTGCTGATTCATACTTTACTTTGTGATTAAAATGGACAAGAAAACGTGCAGCCATTTCACTGTGTTTTGTGCATGTTGAAATTGAGATAGTAAAATCTAATCTATAGTGATACCTTCTGCATTTAATTCTCCAGTCAGCATCACTTGGCCTTTTATTCATGATTCTTCGATTCACCATTCTAATAAGTAGAGACTGATCCTTCAAGACAGCTTTTACCATTTCTGTTCTGGGAAATTGCTTCTTGTATGTTTCTATATGTTTAAATATAAAAACTCTTGCCAGACAGAATTATTTAAAATTTCACTTTACTCTTGTGCATAAGAAAAGGACTCAGCTAGTGAGACTGTTGGCCAAATAATTTCTAGTTCTGCTATGTTGTTTTCTTGGAGAGTTAAGGATGTGTTGTCTTTTGAGATAAGTTATACCTTAGTCTGATGAGACTTTAAAGAGCTTTCTGACACATCCTTTCATCAGCCCATCAGAATGCGTGCTTATGAGAGTCTTGCTTTGTTGAGGAAAGTCAGTTATATCTGTGTTAACTATCAATACCTCATATAGTTAGGAGATTGACTCATGAAATTAAAGGCATGCTTTTAAATGAGGATTACCCTTTTGTTGGGGACTGAAGTGAAAAATGTTTTTTCCTTCTTACTGCTCAGTTTTTATGCTCAAAATTAATAACTTCTAATAAAAGTTAA